GGGCTCTTCGCGCGCGCTGCCTGCCCAGCCGCGGCCCCCCTCCACCCCGCAGCCATGCCCTGCTCCGAGTGCGAGCCGCAGCCCGCCTCGCCCGGCAAGCGGCCGCGCGCCGCCCAGCGCCTCCGCTTCGCCAGGCTCTCCGAGAACGCGCGCGCGCCCACGCGCGGCTCCGCGCGCGCCGCCGGCTACGACCTGTACAGGTGAGGGGGCCCGGGGCGGCGGCGCCTTGCGCGGCTCCCGCGCGCTCCGTGCTGCGCGGAGCCCGCGGCCCCCCGGCCAGGGCCGGGCACCCTCCCGGGGCCTGGCACGTCGCTCCGTGACCCCCGCCGCGCTTCCCTCTGCCCCACGTCTCTACTTCCAGGGATGGCCTRCACACTTGGGAATAATAATAATACTCATAATAACAGTGGCTAATAGTGCATAGGAAAACTACGGGTATTTTTCAACCGTTGGGAAACCCCAGGCCGAGGTACAGGCCTGGAACATCAAGACAGGCTCGCTGTGCTGTTGCCACGCTTCCCTTGCATTAAACCTCCATTTGGATAGCTACAAACCGCCCTTAAAAGCCACATAGCCCCAGGGCCCAGAGTCAGACCGTGGGAATGATGCACGAACTTGCTGAGGAAAAATAAGTCGTTGTTACCTGAAATTATTTCATATTTTTTTTTGATTACAGTTCACTTGCTGTAGGAAGCTTAATTGGAACAGTCTTTTTTAGAATTTCTGCCTTTGGACAGAAAATTGCATATCTACATTGAACTCATGGAGAATTACATGTTAAACTAATCTGTCTGATTTACAGGTTAAAAACATGCAAAAATAGCAATCTTAGTATTATGCTGTTCTAATGACCCTCCTGAAGTCTTAAGATAGGCTATCCCTGTTGTGATAGGACTGCATTTTACAGATAGGCCAGATCTGGTGCAGATCCTTTCTTTTTTTTTTTTTTTTTTTTAAATAAATACTGTGGTAGGTCATCCCTACATCCCATGAGGAATAATTATGGATAATTTTATTTCTAAGTTACAGAGAAGTTTGGGTTTTTTTTATATATATATATATTTTCTCTCTACATAAAGCTTTTTTTTTTTTCCCCACCCCTGTTTTCTTTAATTTAGCGCCTATGACTGTGTGATACCACCTATGGAGAAGGCGGTAGTGAAAACAGATATTCAAATTTCACTTCCTGCYGGATGCTATGGGCGTGTAGGTAAGTAAACAGACTGTGAAAAGGCTTTAGCAGAACAGTTTTGGTAACTGTGAACTGTGGTTGAGGTAGAGCCGTTTCACGTGACCTAGGTTAGTCATATCTTTCCATTTTTTATATAGTTACACAGATTTATTCCTTGAAGCTGGGGAGCACCTGCACCCACTGTACCCACAGTAAAGTCACAGTAGGAAGTTTGACAGAATCCTTTCATTTGGATGGGCTCTGAAGCTTTCCAGATTCTTCCACACAGAGTAAAACCCATGACTGTGTGATTTGTTAAGTCTGGTACTAGACATTTCTTGTCAAAAACATTTGAGGTTTGGTATATATCAAATGACAAAGTCTCATAACTTACATACAACTGGTATCAGGGTCTGCAGCACATCCCCCTTCTAGGGCTTAGACTCAGCTTAAGGCTTAGGATGATCTGTGCTACTTCTGATCTGTGAAGGAGCTAACTTTGGTCTTGCCCAACTAAACTCTCTAATTTAGCTAACTGAACCTGTAGAAAGGGAATGCACCTCAGGCCCCAATATGCTTATATGCTAGAGCATATAAACCTTTAACAAGTAATAGCACATGACAGATGTACCCCTGACTGTTTAAAAACTAAAGARAAAGTACTAGTGTAATTAAAGTTTGTCCAGTTACTGAGGGAATCTATGCAAGGTATTTGGGAATATTCTGTGCATTGTCTGAATTATTTATAAATTCTTAATGCTGTTCAAAATAAACGCACTGCCGCACCAATGGGAGAACATAGTAGAGCTTGCAGTGCGAACGAAAAGGGAGATAGCACACATTTTTCCTATCCCAAAATAAAAATTTGGGAAAGAGTGACATTTTAGCAGCCCTRTTAAAGGAGGCTAAAATAGGTAAAGACCTGCATGTCCTTTGGTTTACCTGTTATTCTTAGTTTAATTTTTTTAAACTTCTTACCAAATATTATTTTCTATTGTAACTTGAACAGGTTGACTTTCAACAGTCTTTTGAGATCATTCCAGAGGAGTGGTAACAGCCAAAATAAAAGATTAAACAGTCCTTGTCTGTTCTAGCCTTCCTCTGTGGAAGAAATCCTTTCTGCATTTGATGGTCTGAATATGGTCTTATTTAGAAGATTTAAAAATTGTCAACTGCAGCAGATGATACTGTTTAGTATATACCAAAGCACATAGAGTAACATTCATTAGTTTTATAAAGAGTCTGAGAAGTGTTCTTGAAGCTGAATGCAATCTAATCTCTAAATATTGTGCAAAATTTTCTTGTTTATTACATATTCTTTTTTTTTTTCCTCTTTTTTTAGCACCACGTTCTGGTTTAGCTGCAAAGCACTTCATTGATGTTGGTGGTAAGACTTTTATCATTAAGAAATTTTTGAAAGTATTGATTAAAGTAYATTGATTTCACCTTGTAATTTGTAAATAAATAACACTAGCTTCATTAACAGCCAGAAAAAAGAGGATAATAAAGTTATATAAAWCCTATATATGCTTTGTGGTAGTCTTTTCAATCCTAAACTAGAAAATACTGGAATGAAATGAGAAATATTTAGTAGGATAACCTGCATACAGTTCTTTGAAAAGCTCATAGTTTACAAACCACACATGGGAGCCTCTGTTAAAAAGTCCTGCATAAATATTATCACAATGCAGAGACAGTATCTATTTCAGTAATAGTTCRTTTTCAAAAGACCTGTAGAGTAAATAAAGGGTGAGGGAAAAAGATTAGTGAGCAATCAAGAATCTGTTCAGAATTCACATCTGCTAGGTGTGGATGCTTTCCCAACAAGTGACATGCCAAACTTCTGACAGGCTAAGACAGTGTGTCAGTCTGCCAGTTCCAATGCATGATTTTTCCAAAAATGACTTAGATGATTTCCACCCAACATATGTCATTTAGAAAAGCGCTTTCGTGCTCAGCAGCGTATGCAATTTTTGCAACTCGGTATTCTGGAAAGGCAGAATGCCAAGGGAGAAAAGCTTTTTAAAAAAAAAAAAAAAAAAAAAACCACTAACATATTTTGCCAGTACACCCAGTTGCATAAACTGAGTTTCTGACCCTGTACAAAAAGGAGGCTGTTTGGTCCCTAACCCAAGGATAATAGATTCTCTAGTATAAATAGTATAGCCTTACCTCAAAATCCAGATGGTGGTTATATTTCCGTAGATATAAACTCATTTAAAAGAAACCCAATTCCCATAGATAGGGAATTAATTTGGCAATATCTTCACACTGCTGTGTCTTTAATGTAATTTGAGATTATGGCTTTGGCAGTATTTTGGTTCTTCAGCATAGCATTAGACTAATGTTTTTTGTCATAAAATACTTCAAAAATATTGTTTTTTTTGAAATACAAACAACCTGCAAGTCCAAGTACGCATTTGAAAGAAGTAGTCCCTTTCCCCATCATATGAAAAGYCTTCATCCTCAGAAGCATATGGGAAGTACAATTCCTGTCTACTAGACAATATGTCTGAAAACCATCTGAATCATTACAAGTACCATTTACTCRATGGCTAGGCTTTAAAAAAAATTAGTGTTTTAATTAACATTTTTCTCCTCTAAATGAGTAATAGAAGTGACTTGTATTTTAAATATTGCTGACCACATTTCAATCAAGAAGTGTTTATCAATCTTTTCTATCTTGGATCATAAGACTATTTTCAAATCCTAGAGAGCACACTTACCTTCCTCTTTCATCCCATCACATTTCTTTGAACTTTCCAATCTATTGACTCAGGTCAAAGACACCAAATTAATGGACAATTAATTATAGAAAGTGCATGAATCTTAATTATTTTTTGCTATTACCAGATTACTMGGTTGTTCTTTGTAATGTGTTTGTGTAGCACAAACTGAACTATCCYCCTTAATTCTGTTTCCTCACAGCTGGTGTTATTGATGAGGATTACAGGGGAAATGTTGGTGTGGTACTCTTCAACTTTGGCAAGGAATCTTTTGAAGGTAAGTGTTAAGCTTGGCAAAGCACATTTTCACCCATGTCATTGGAAATAAGGGTTTTGTTGTTAAAGTGGATGAAGAGTTATAATTAGCTGAGAACAGTTTTCTTTTTACAGTTAAAGGCATGGAAACTTAATGTCTTGTCAAGGCAACATGAAAAGTTTCCACTCTTAGTCAATTCAGAGGCATGGAAAAATTTAGCTAAGCTTTATATTCATAAGCTGTACTGAAGTACAACTTTGTGGTAAGTTTCTTTGTTACTCAGCAGAAAAGATGTTTTAGTTGAAAATATTTGAGCTAAGCTACTTCAGGATCTCAGGAAATAATTAGTAATAGAGATGTAGTTTGCTTTTGACTATTTTCTGCAAACACACAGGTTTAAGTTTAATATAGCTTGTGTTCTTGTGAGTTAATGTCCATTTAGCTAATTTTCAGTACTTAGCTTTTCAGGAGTATCCAAGTATTAAAAGGATTGTCTAAACTTTGCATTGATTGTTCACTTATTTTTATAAAGGAAATAATAATTCAATCTTTTTTCCTCAGTTAAAAAAGGGGATAGGATTGCTCAGCTGATATGTGAACGTATCTTCTATCCTGAACTAGAAGAAGTTCAGGTAAGTTGCTAAAGGGAATTACTTTTGCTCTTCTCAAGGATTAGGAGTTCAAGAAAGATACGTATATGCTGAAATTYATGTTGTAAATGAATGCATTGCCTTACAATCGCCTTCAGTGTTCTAACACAATAGTGTTATTGTCAGAATAAAAATATTTAATGCTTACATCTATTTGTGGTATAAGCTATGTGCATGCATATGAAAAACACTTCAGTGTTTACCAGAAACATGTTACACAATATGCAACTGAGGAGCTGCCTTACAGAAGCGTGTACAAATTCAAACAATGTKAAGGTGCATGGGGGCTGCTGTAATTCCTTAACTTCTATGCGAGAGATTCAAAATTGGCTGCAGCTCCTCGATGTGTAGTATGTGTTTACTTTCTTAAAAAAAGAAAAAGAAAAACCACTAGTTTTAGATGAAGCCTAATGCTGTTGTTTCCTTATTAGAGTAAAATTTGTCTCTGTAGGGGAGGTAGAAAGGGGAAGTATTTTTCAAGTTTTTAGTCAGTTACAGCCAGAAGRTTTGTGAGTGCCTATAGTGTGTTTACCTTTAAAAGTTATAATTGTTGCTACAAGAAGAATGTTTCTTTCTCTGACTGTTGTATATAAATACTAAGTTAATGCAAGTTAAGACACTAAACAGCTTATAATTGATGTCTTTCAGGTTTTGGATGATACAGAACGTGGCGCAGGTGGCTTTGGTTCTACTGGACAGAACTGAAGATGCTTTCAGAATACTTTCTATGGTTATGTTACCTAACCTTTCTTTTAAAATCAAGGGTAGATTAAAAAGTTTCAAATTTATGCAGACATATTTTCTGTTCTTATAAGCAGAAAAATTGTTTGCATTGGGAAAAAGAGGTACATAAGTGACTTGACAGTTCAGTTCCTGATTTTTTGTTAGTTATTTGGCCCTTGGTAGCAAGTACCACTGTTTGTGATGATTATACTATAATAAATGTAAAAATGACTTAATAATTGGATTTTCCCTCACCTGGACTGAAAATAAAGGTATGTTTTTGTTTTTTAATTTATCTGAAAGCATGATTTTTTCATATATTAGTATTTCATGCCAAGCCCATTTCATATGAGATCACCAATAATATAGGTATTAATGTAGTTTCCTACTATGTGACCTCTAAATYGGAATGAGAAATCACAGTAACAACTCTGACTATCAATGCATTTTCTCCCCCACTTCTGTCCTCAGCATAACCCTGTGCTCAATTCCTATCTCCATACCCAGGCTTTCAGAAGCCTTGTGTTCAAGGAGTACATCACACCTATTTATTTATTGGTAAAGCTGAGCTCAATAGTGGATTTCTTCCCCATATATAGTTTCCTAGCTCCATTTACTAAAGACTCGTTATGGGTCTTAAAGTAACTGATTCTTGTGTGTGAAGTTGATCCTTTTTGCTGAAGGGCAAGATGAGAGCAATTGTCATGTTCCTCTTCGAGTTTTTCCCCAAAGACCTGTCAGTGTGTCCCATGCTCTGAAGGAGTAATATTTAATAGAAAAAAGTATTTCAGAAGTTAGGCTGCATGAGGAAGAAACAGAACAGGAGGTTTTTGGAGGTATTCCTACTTGCTATCAATATAAAGTAAGTAAGCGTGTCTTGGTAAAGACATTTAAACAGTATATTGTAAAACTTGATGCAGCCAAGTTCTTTTTCMTCATTTCTCAAAAGTTGTTTAGAAAAGTACATAAAGAGTTGAACATTACTGCAAGGCTCTTTGCTAGTAGGATCTTAGAATAAGTCTGTCTGAAACAGAAACCRAATCTGAAAAAAATGCAAATGCACTCAGTTACCTCTACACAGAGATGGTCCTATACAAATCCAACCACTTGCACTAGGATAACAAATTCTCRTAATTCCCTTATAGGGTGATGTTTCAGTAGGAGTAGTCCAACTATACAAGCTTAACAGTGTGTGACATGCACCTGTCCTGTCCCAACAGAAGACTTTAACAGACTTAGATCTAATTTGTGGCTAGATATATTCATTTGGCCTCTGATGAATCATCCTTATGGTTCCACATATGTATGAAACTAAACATATTTACATCTATAAAACAAATGCAGAGTGTCTCGTTACTTGCAAATAACACTGAGCATTTAAATGAAAGTGATGTTTGGCTTCTCCGTTACCACTGAACAGGTTCAGACAAGGCTATTTTAATCAAGACTTAACTACCCCTCATGCTAGCATGAGCACGTTATCTCCAGAGGAATTAACTACAACAAATGATCTTGCAGAATCTCCATAGAGTAAGTTGAATGTGGTACCTTAAGAGAGGAAATAAAGTATTGGGAATTCTCAACTAGAGCAGAAAAGGGCTTTTTTTTTTTTCTCCTCCTCCTCCCCTCCTGCAAGGAAAAGGGCATTATTAACCAATGATCTAGCTGCTTTCTTCCAGAAATGACTAGTTCAAAGTTAGACTTGGCTTGTTAAAAGTTGAGTTGGATAAAATCTGACCTCCACGCCCAGATGAATCTGGTAAGATCTAATGAGTACAAATGCTTGGCTTCAGTTTAACCTCTGTTGTTTGGAAATCTAAAAGGATTCTTTTCTGGTCTAGACTAGAATACATACAATGGGTTGAAAGACTACATATGCTGATAAGCTGGTAAGGATCATGAAAGAACAGGTGATACCCGAGATTCCTGCCATTTGGGCTCTTCAATTTGCCATTAAAGAAAAAATGACATAGATAATGATACAATTGATCTTTAGGTGTTTCRTGAGTTCTCCAAAGTGTAATTTTTCTATTAGTTGATGCAAATTCAAATGAGGTTTCTTCAGTTCAGCTATAGTTGTATTCCGTTGCATGGTCAGATTTTTGGGGAATCTATCAGGTGTTTTTAATAAAATAGCCACTAGATGGCACTTTAAGTTTGCTTTCTGTTCCACTTTTGTTTCCCAGAGATATTTTTCAAATATCTGTTCATCTGTAATTAAGAGTTGATGACTCCCATTGGGACTGTGTTGGCAGAAAGCAAGATGCAGCAATATTTGAGTGAAAGCAGGCAAAAGTATAACCATTAGCAAGGGGGGGGGGGTGCAAAACAATGACTATAATTTAAATAAGATTTGGGTGGTTGCAGTGTTTGCATAATCCCTCCTGGCATGCAAGAGCAGTAGAGTGGCCTGTGGCTTTGCTCTCCTGCTGTGTTTCAACAAAAATGGAAAATCGTAACGAACAGCAACATTTTTCCTATCTTTCATATTCGCTGTCTTCTTCTGCCCCTTCCTTTCGTTGCAACTGCATTGGAATGCAGCTTGCTTAAGGATTGTGCTATAATGAAGCTAGCATGTAGCTTGGTAAACTCGCCATTGAGTTGTCCAAATTCGATGCTTTTTGCTGCAAGTTCCCAATATAAATTAAGGTTTGCTTAACACACATTAACCCAGTAAAGGCAAATGCCATATGGTAGCAGGAGAATTATGCGGGGCTTCAGTTGAGACTCTCCAGTTTCTATATAGATTACAACTCCTGTACACAGCCAGGCCTTGTTGTGTTTGTCTTCCCCCCCACTCATCCTCTTTTTTTATTATTATTATTGTATTTTGGCTTAAAGATGGTTAACTAAGTTTCAGTATTAAGTAAACTTCTATGACCCTGCCTATTTCCTGTCCTGTCAAACCTTTCCTTGTAAGAATAACAGTGTCCTTTTATTTGGTAGAGCGTAGCATGATGTTTTTGGCAGGCCTAACATTTTTGACTTGCATAAATTTGTGACCTTAAGTGCAAGAAGAGTGAATGCTTGCTTCAGTGCCTCAGGGTTTCTGCCTAAAAAGAAAAGTGTCCACATTGCTAATCATTACAGTTCCTGAAGAAAAATTATCAGCACACTTATTCCACCTGATTGCACATGACTGCACTTCCAGAGAAAATAATCAGAAATAAAAATGAGTATTTTGTACCTAGTTATGTAAGGTACAAACTGTCTGAAAATATAGGGCAGACTGTACTGTCTTATTGATTTCTAGAATTGGCACACATGGCATTTGCCTCACTGCCAGCTCTTTGGCAATCCCTACCCAAGAATCTGATTCTGCAAAGTGGAAGCTTCGAGCTGCTGCTGGACAGGGAATATGATTGTATTTTTAAATGTTGCAGGATAAGAGGAAGTGAATTAATGCAGTTGTTTTCCAAAGCTTCCTTCCACTAGCTGTGGAAATTCAAAATAATGCTTTGCCCCTACTCTGTTGGAAGAAACAAAACCTTGCCCTCGCTACGTCCAAATAAAGTCCTGATAAATTAATGATGTAATTTGAGAGCCCTCACCCATAGAAATTGCCCACTAAATTTTATTATATAAAATATGCTGAAATAAGTGTGAGCTATGTGCACACACCTGTCTGTTTCCCTGCGGACTTCAATTTTTCAGTCATCCCGCAATGTAATACTAACCATTGCCTTAAAGAAACATCTATGCAGTAGATTTTGTAACAAACACGAATTTATACTAACCTCCTATTTTTTCTTTTAGTCTTAATGTTTAAAGTCACTGTCCTTGAACTAAAGAAAGTTTTCTTTTGATTACTATCGATTACTGCAAAGGAGYGTTTGTTTTTGTTTTGTAAAAGGAAAAAGAAAAAGCAAACAGCCATGGAAGCAGCATCTTGGGCCAGATTCTTTCAACATGAGTATTTTGTGGTTTATGAATTCCTAGCCAGTCCGAAAGGTTGTCTCGGAATATCCAAGGCAAAATAACCGTGTCCTAGTTGGATGAATATTTCTCCCCTTCCTTTGCAAGTAAGCTGTTTCTGCGTGCCGTGTCTAGAGACGGGCAGCATCTAGTACCCAGTGCTGTTTTGCTAACATGCCTTAATCCTCTCTGCCCACAACCTTGCCCCTTGTGCCAGCTCCCACTCAGATCAGTGCTGCATTACAGGTGCCCTCCCTTTGGGCAGAGTGGTGGCAGGAAAACCCTCTTGTTGGTGCTTTGAGTTTCCTGCTGTGAAAACCTTATCTCACATGCCTTCCCCCTCCACTTCCATGTGAAAATTACTGCTGGCAGCCTATCCATCAGGAGCATTACATGCATTCAGGCCATTAAAATACTGCAAGAAAGTGGCTTCCTCCTCCCCATCCTGTCTTTTGATAGGGCACCATAGCAATATAAAGCCTGGTGGCAGTCACCAAATAGAGAAAGAAAGAGAAAACTAATCAAATTTTAATCCTGATCTCACCTTTCTTCTTAATTTGCATTAAGATATTAACAATGTGGGGAAAACTAAAAGAGGAGGAAGTTGTGACAAAGCCAGAAAAACCCGCAACAGAGAGCTCATTGTACTCCATTGACATGAGGAGGAGGAGGAAAGGACAGCTGAGTCATCTTGGTGAGCATTTAGGGTTTGTTTTTTTTTTTTTATTATTAATCCCATCAATTTAATTAATAAAAGTTCTCCAGGAAAAACTGGAAAAACCCAGCCTGTCAGACAGCTATCAAGTAAAAAGCTGAACTGCTGCTCCAGGGAGGCAGCAACATTGTGGTATTTTTGCCAAGGTATCATTCCTTGCCCAGTGCAGCACTCTACATCTTTTATCAATTTTTAAGAGAAGCTGAGACTTTAAACATTTCTGTTTCTTCTGGAAACATGACATACACTGTGTTCCTGCCCAACCACCTGCACGGAGCCTCTAGACTGTTGCACAGAACTTCCCCAAATGCCAGCTGAGAACAGTCAAGACAGGCAAGTCTGGGTAACCTTTCATCACTGCAGATCCCACCAAGCTGCGAATCTTCCACATAGGAGAACCTACCTCCATTTGGTTTGTATGTGGAAGCCTTTCTGGATG